GCTATGGAAAGTAGAAAACAAACTACCTGGCCTGGGGCGGTATAACTGCCAGCTCAACAGAAAACTGGAGCTGGAATTCCCAACTGGCCCAATAATAGACCCATACATGTACAGTCAATTATTTATACAAAGGTTCCAAGAAAATTTACTATCAGTACTCTTTAAGTTGTATGTATTGTATAATTGTGCTTTATAGAGCTTATCGCTAATACCTCAGTAAAAAGTAAGCAGAAGCAAATATATATATATGCCAACATCCATTAAAGTATGGAAATCCTCAACTTTAAAGTCACAAGTGACAACCCCTGTAGAGAAATGTAAGATCTGTTACTCATAATTACATAATTAGGTGTTAGCAAGCAGTTTCATAACTTAGACTACCTCAGAGCAAAGCACTTGCTAAAACGTTTTCTTGTACTGTTTCTTCACCTTAAGTATATTCAGTTCCCTAAAATTTTTCAAGAGCCCTCAAACTCTTGGGGTGAAAAAAAAATCATAGATTGAGTCTTCCAATAATTTCATTTTTCCCAAGACCTTTTAGGGCCTACCTCATAAGTGAAAGGATGCAAGTTCTCAAACGCATGTTGGGTGTGCGGAACAAGTCACACACAGAAACTCTGGTCTGTGCAGCAGCCAATTCCTCCTGCATGGTGAGTCTCAAGCTCTTAAAAAACAACAAATAAAATAAGTATTCATTAGTTGCCAAAAAAAGTATCGGGCACCATGCCCCCAACAGAGTTGTGTTTAATATTCAAGAAGCTTTCTGTTTAGTTCAAAGATAGTCATTAAACAAGCATTACAAATATGAAAGTGTTAGTAAAATAATTAGAAGCTTCTATTTACAGAAAATTGAAACAAGACCCATACCTCACAGCATATACAAAAACTAACTCAAGATGGATCAAGGTAACTTTGGTGTAAAATCTAAAACTATAAAGATCATCAAAAGAAAAACTGAGGTAAGTAAGCTTAGGAACCGTGATTTTTGGCATAAAGAGATCATCAAATACAGTTGATGTATACAATCAAAAGAAGACATTGTTGTTGTTGTTGTTGTTGTTGTTGTTGTTGTTGTTGTTAAGTCCCATCAAGTTGAGTGCCAAAGTGACCCAATAACTATTAGGATTGGAACGAAGGAAAGAGGCAAAAGTTTAAAGCTATCAGAACCAGGAAGCAAATACTGACATGCATAAAATTGGTGCTTTGGGTGCATAAGTCAAAGGAGTGGAACAGAAATGACATCAGAGAACAGGGACCAGAACGAGAACCATCAACTACTCTTTGAACTGTATGACATCGCCTCATTGGCCCAGCTCCAGCCTGAGGCTCACCCAGAGAAGAGGAGAGAGGAGGTAGCCATAATCTCCCAGGTTTGCTTCACCCAGGGTGGCTATGATCCTTTGGCCAGAGAGCATGGTGCTGTGTATGTGGGTGTTGTGTTGTGGCGGTCTCTGGAGAAAGGCGACTCTGCCTCCAGAAGCCAGGGAAGCCACACTTGGCACACTTGGCCTTGGGCTGAAGGCACCCAGAGAAGGAGGCCATAAATAGAGCCTCAGCTCAGTAGCATGCTGCACTCTTCCTATTTCCTTTCAAGGAGGGAGATTTGTCCCTTTTCGGATGTAAAAATTGATGC